ATCTTTTCAGTTTTCTTTAAAACGTTTCATTTTTTTTATCTATTTCCTTTTATTTTTATTTTTTCCGTGAGTGGTTCATTTTTGTCTACTTTTTGGAGTAATTTGGGAACTCTGTTTAGATAAATGTTGTTTTGCATAATCTGTTTAAAAAGAGGGCAGTTATAAATTTTTCCCGAGTTTATTCGATGGCGATTGATAGAAAGTGGGCCATATTTTTTTTGTTTATGTGACCAGCCATTTAATATTTGATGAGCCAATTTGTTTTCATGAATGTCATTTCAAGTGGGCCATTTTTTTTTTTTTGTTTTTGTGACCAGCCATTTAATATTTGATGGGCCAATTTGTTTTCATGAATGTCATTTGGGCCGTTTTCTCTTTTCAATATTGGGCCTAATGTGATTTTGTTTTGCTTTGTTATAAAAATTGGTTTTTAAGTCTCCAAAGTCTTAACGTTCAAATTCGTCGATGGACTCGGTTGCATGGTTAAGATATCGCGACTCATTCACTTCAAGACATGTCGTCCGTGAACAAGCCTCGAGGGGGCATTTGTAGAGACATAAAAATTGTGTCCAATCAAATGGCGCCACGTGGAAATTATTTTATTAAAAATTAAGTCATATTTTCTATTTATATTATGGAAATTTCCATAATTTAATTCCTAAATATAAATAGTTAATTAATTGATATTTTAATATGTTAATTCAATTTTGGTAAATAAATCATATCTTCTAGAATATCTTGGAAGATTTAAGTGGATCTAGAAGATCTTATGTAAATCATCATGGACCAATCAAATCGCGGTATACGATTCTTAAATTTGGTAGGGTTCTCTCTCCTACACCTATAAATAGGGGCTCTCCCTAATGTAAAAAACACACCTCATAATTCATATTCAAGTTCAAGAGCTCTAGAGAATTTTCTCTCAACGAGATTCAAGTGTTCTTGAAGATTCAAAGCCGTTCTTGGAGATTCGAAGGAAGATTCAAGCACATTCAAGCTCAAGACTAGCGTTCAATTCTAAAACAAGCTGCGAAGCCTCCGAATAACGTTAGTAAATTCAAAAACCGGCGGAGAGAAGATTCAAGATCTACTTTGCGACGAAGATCAAAGATTTGTGTTCTTCGTGTTCTTGGGATATTACGACGTTTGATCCGGGAAAAAGCTCTCAAACCCCCGGATTAACGTTAATTCAAGTCAAATCAAGTCAAGGAGAAGATCAAACCGAAGATTTTGCTCCAAGACTTAAAATTGTTTGTGAGAAGAATCAAAGGAGAAAATAGAGATTGAAACCCGCTATATTATTTTGATTTGAGAAATTCATTTGAATAATATTTTTTGTATTTTTAAATTCAATACACGAATATTGTTGTTACAAGGACTAAGGCCCGGCAAAGAAGATTCTTGGGATGCAAATCATGAGAGATAAGCAAAAATGGGTTTTGCAGTTATCTCAGACATAGTACATCAACCGTGTTTTGCAGAGATTTAATATGGACAAGGCTAAGCCAGTCAGTGCACCTTTGGCCAGCCATTTTCGTCTATCCAAGGATCAGTCTCCTCAAACAAAGGAAGAAGAAGAGTTCATGGCTAAGATTCCTTATGCTTCAGCCATTGGAAGTTTGATGTACGCGATGGTCTGTACGAGGCCAGACATTAGCAATGCAGTGGGAGTTGTGAGCAGGTTTATGTCAAATCCGGGAAAAGCTCATTGGGAAACAGTCAAATAGATTTTGAGATATCTACGAGGCACAACAGAAAAATGTCTGTATTTTAAAAAAGGAGATCTACAGTTACAGGGCTACGTAGATACAGATTTCGAAGGCGAAGTTGATCACCAAATAAGCACTACCGGTTATGTTTTCACTGTCGGGGCTACAACTGTTAGTTGGATGTCACGGATAGAAAAGATTGTTGCTCTATCCACTAAAGAGGCCGAGTATGTAGCAGTGACAAAAGCCAGTAAAGAATTGATATGGCTTCAAGGATTGTTAGCAGAGTTGGGTTTCACTCAAAAAGAGAGTGCCTAGCACAATGACAATCAGAGTGCAATACATCTGGCAAAGAACTTAGTGTTTCACTCCAGAACTAAGCACATTGACATACAATATCATTTCATCAGATCTCTTCTTGAGGATGAAGTGTTGACTTTGAACAGGATTGTAGGAAGCAAGAACCTAGGAGATATGCTAACGAAGGTGGTGACCATTGAAAAACTGAAGTTGTGTTCAACTTCAGTTGGCCTGCTAGAATAACATACTAGAGAAGACTACTGCAGTAATTGAGGTGTGAGGACAGATTGAAATCAATCCTCAAGTGGGAGATTGTTAATCTAGCCACTATATTTGTCATTGTCAATGACAGCTGTCATATCTGATCCCAATTGCACTAGCCCACTGGTGTTGAAAAAGGAAGCCGCCCACTCCTTTAGACAACACACATTTGAAGAAAAGAAACACCATTTTTTTAGCAGAGTTGGTGCATTTCACTCTATAAATAGAGATGAAATCTGATGAAAAAGAACACAGCAAAATACACCAACACAAGAGATAAAAGAGAGAAAAAAAGAGAGTGAACAAGAAGCAAAAGATTTTAGCTTCTTTGTGTATTTGTATTGCGGGTTGTGAGTGAGTTTGAGAGTGTTTTGTAAACACGAGTGTATTTCATTTCTCCCAATAAAATATCTGCAATAGTCCGGAGACGTAGGCATTATTGGCTGAACTCCGTTATCAATTTGGTGTGTCCAATTTTTCTTTTTTATTTCACTTTTATTGATCCGACTGCGTGAACAATTCAGCGTATTTTTCCCAACATATATAGTGATAATGCAATATATGAATGCAAATTTAGTGCAGTTGAGAACAAATTCTTGTAGCTCTCAACTATTACTAATTCACTGAATATGCTTTTTTTTTTTTGTGGTATCCACACTATGCTATGTTATGTGAATGGCATTGGTGAGGAGTTCTGTTCAAAGTTACATTTGCAAAAACTGATTGTGGATTTTGACTGACTGCAGGTTCTGGTTAATTATGCAAGATCCTCGAGATACAAAACCAAAAGGCTATTTTCGACAGACATTCAAAATTTGAATTTTCAACAACATATATCCAACAATACAAGAGAGTGAGCAGTGCATTACAACAACAATTATTCAAATACATTGTTTAGACCAGTTATTCACCAGAAGGATATTGTTTAAAGAACTTCTGAGAGGAAAGTTCTAAAAACACTACTTCTAATAAGGATTTTGCTTTTCCAAGGAGCATTATTTACCTCCATGCACACGTCTTCTACCTACTTCGCATACAGTAACACCCAATACTTGTCTGTGCTGTTAAACCGTAAAAACAAATTATAACCGAGCTAATGTGGAGAACAATATTTTTTGGTAAATCCAATATTTTCCGTGGGACTTTTTCTTGCAGATAGAGGCATCTGGTCGAGAGGCTATTACTTTTGGTGGCGACGTTTCTAAAGAATCCGATGTGGATGCTATGGTTAAACCGGTGATTACATAATTTTGTTTCTGCTTTCACAGGGCAGGTATTTTGTCTAGCACCAAAAAGTTTCGATTTTTCGGCAGAAGATATTTGCATTTCTTGATTTTTTATTAAACACATTATATATTGCTCTTTGAAAACTCTTAGCTGGCTCAACCCCGTTGAAGTTTGCTCCGACCTTGCAGGCTTTAACCATTGATGGAGGTGTGGCCATGTAAGAAGAGTTTTGACAGTGAGTTGAGGATTGATTAATGTAGTGAAGACAAAATTTGAAATGATTTGCAGATTCATCTCTTGTAACTATTTTCAAATTTTGAACAACATATTTTCCCTTACATATAAGCAAAAATGTAAGGTGTTTAGGGCGTGACACGTGTCCAGTTTTAGCAGACCAAAATGCCCCTAACTTTCAACTCTTTTTACAAATGATGCCCTGATTGAGTGGGTTGACTCCGCCTTTTTCTTCTTTTATGCAGAATTTCCGTTGAATTGCTAACTCAAATATTATTGTATTGTTTAGTTTCTTTATATATTGTTGTTAAGTTATTTGAAATTGCATTTATAAATGCCATATAAAATAAGTATGTGTATTTTTAAATTTTGACAAATATCATTGTAATAATAGAGTGGACTAGGACCGGATGTGCGTGCACAATCGTCGGGCCTACTAGTAAATATTATATAAATAAAAACATAAAGCAAGCACACCTGCAAATACTGGTTCAACTGGAAATACAAATGAAATGCCATTGTTTTGTGATAAAGCAAAAACACCTAGAGGACCACACAAATGATAAAACTAGCAAGAAAGACCCAAAAAAATCTTTGAGCAAACTGCTTTTATTTATTTCATCATCATATGTACCAAATTGTCTTTTCACCTTTGTTTTCTTGAAATTAATAAGGATCACTGGTAGAATTTGTAGGTCTTGGCTGATAGGATTATGTTCCTCAGTCCTCCAATTGGTGCTAAGATCATCAATATAACTCCAAGAACAATGAATACCTGAAAAAAAAAAATGATCAAATAAACCATTTCTTAGGCATTAATAATATTATTCTACAGGAGATATAAGTCTACATTATTCAACAAATAAAAATTTGTGCTTTTTAAAAACCCTTTACCCAATTTATCCACCAGGAGAAGCTAAACCTTTTGGGTTTCCTCACAATCAGCCATATAATGCAAGGGAGCTGAAAAAATAAATAAATAGTTTGATATAGCTAACATAAAACAAAAATCCATTAAATTATATATATATATATGAAATTATGAAGAATGTAACTTACATAGTAAGTTGTAGGGGCCAAAGCAAATCCACCAAAGAACCCAAGTAAACCACCAAAGAAGGGGAATGTCATCCCAACAAACATTGTGAATGCTACAATTATTCAAATTTGCCAATCAAGAAAACCACATTTCATCAAGAAAACAACAACAAATAACCAATCTAAGATCAAAACCTACCAAATTTTTCAAAAAAATAATAATAATAAAAAAAAACTCACCCACGAATATGGTACGTGTCGTGAACCGAAGCTTTCCCGAAGGGTTAAACTTTATCTGCTTCACCAAGAACGTCTCGAGCATATCAAACACAGGCATGGCATATACCTACACACGAATCCAAATCGTCACGCATATATAAAACGACAAAAACCAAAATTCGACCGCGAAAAACGAAAAAAAAAAAAAACCAAAACGAAAAACCTGATAGCTCCCGATGACATGCACGAACACGAACAAATTCGCGGCAGCAACCAGCCAAGCGGGCTTCTCGAGCGTCTGCAAGATATTATCATCCACAGAGTTCCCGAACACATAGTACCCTACAAAGGCCACGGGCAAGTAGCATATAGCCACGACTAAGTAAGCAAACATAACCCCTTTCCACATGGGCTTCTTGGACGGGGTTTCGTAGGTCGAAGGTATTTGTGATTGGATCTCAAGGACCACATTGTGGCCCGCGTACGCAAATGCTATATCCCCCATTGCATTGAAGAAGTTCATCACATTAGCCGGTGGGCTCGAACCTCTAAGCGCATAGCTTACATCAGGTTGGGCCCCTTTCGCTAGAGAAGCCACCCAAGCCACGGTCGAATAACTAATCACAAACAAACAAAAAATAATAAATAAATAAATAAGAAAATCGTAAAATAAATAATGATTATATATACGCACGTGAGGGACATGGTGGCTGCGGCTAGAGAAACGAGCGCGATCGAGCTGAGGTTCGGGAGGTGGGAGAGGAAGTAGTGGACGGAGGAGAAGATGAAAATGTAGAGAGTGAGGCTCAATTCGTGGTGACCGGGCCAGCCTGTCTCAACGAATTTCTTGAGGGATTTGCCACCGGTGACCATGTAGACGATGCACGTGCTGACATTGACGACGACTTGTTGAGGAACGACTATGTAGAGACCGAGCTTCTCGCCAAAAGCGTGCTGACCGAGCTCGTGATAACGGTCAAACCTCTTGCCGGGGACCATCTCGTGCATTTCGACCATTTGCCATAGGGTGTATAGAGTGATGATCCATGATAAGAGCATGAGGGTTATCCCGGGACCCCTAGAGAAAAAAATGAAAAAAAAAAGAGAAAAAAAAGGAATGTACGATTAAGAATAAGTGAACAACCACGCAACGTAGCAAAAACCGAAAGTCCTTGTGAAGTGTTGAAAAAAAAAAAAAACCGAACCGAACAGATCAGAACACTTTTCAACACTAAAAAATCCGAATTGAACAGAACCGAAATGCATGGTTTGGTACATATATGTCGATAACATTGTACACAGAAATTATGGCAACAATTTCTTGCTAAAGGATTTGAATTTGTGGCAACACTCTCCATTTTATTGAAAAAGATTAAGCACTCTCGAGTATATATACTCGATGTTGCAGTCGTAAAAAATCTATAAATTTTCATTTAGAGATTTTAAACACTAATTTATAGAAAAGTTCATATATGTAGGGGGCGAACTACGCGGTTCGGTTCAAAAAATCGAGAAAATCGAACATACCGAAAAAAAATAACCGTACCGCAACACAACATAGAATAAAAATCGACAAACCAATCTTGTGAAGTGTTGAAAAAAAAAAAGAAAAAAACTAAACCACACCAAACCAAACACGAAACTTTTCAACACTAATAAAACTGAACCGAACAACATCGAAAATGCATAATTTTTTTATAAAAAAAAAATAAATAAATAAATTGTACCATCCCATGTTGGACATGGCGTAGGGGAGGCTGAGTACACCGGCGCCAACCATGGCGGTGACGTTGTGGATGGTGGAGGACCACCACTTGGCCTTTCGGGAGGCCGTCATCGGCAGCCAATCATCCACCTCCTTTTGCCGACTCGATTTTTCGTCGGCCATCTCTACAGTTTTCTGTTTTTTTTTTTTTTTTTGCTCACCTTCAAAATGCAAAGACCATAAGAACATAACAACATTTTATAACAACATATTAGTAAATAAAATTTTGAATTTCACGAGATTCCCTATCTAAATTTGTTGACACGGTCAACTCATAAAGTTGTATAATTAGTTATCAAAATATGGGATTCTAGTAACTATCAGAATCAGACCCTATCATATCAGTCAAGATATGCTAAATCCAAATTTAAACCAGATTTTTTGCCTATTCTATACAATTTTTTATTTTTTTTTCCATTTTCAGAATTTTGTTTCATAAGAATTATTTAGTAGTTAAGATATAGGAAATTCGTATATATATAATCACCTCATATGTAAGACATTTGCTAAACAAAGCCTATAAAATTGTCTTATATATGTACATTTTTGTCCTATTATTATTATTATTATTATTATTATTATTATTATTAATCCTCGAAGTCCCAGAACAATTTATGCAGAACCTCATGGCATTAATTCCGGAGAATATTAAAAATTCAATATAGTAGTTATTAATAAATATCAAAATTATATGTAGATGCAAAAAAACATTAGAAGAATACGAAAAATCTAAATTGAACTTTGCACCAACCTTTACAAATCCAATGTATGTTTTTATGTTTATTCTAACCTTCCCTTTTCCTCTCCAACTTTACACCTTCGAAAATCGTACAAAACTCACCAACTTCATAGTTTAAGAAATAATAATAATAATAAATGTTTAAATGTTTTATCATAGTTGACAATAAATTCAGTAAAATTTTATAATTCAAAATTATATTTCAGTTCATGTTTCATCATCCATACATCCATTCATTAAATCTGAATATAATAACGGGAGATTCTACAGTCCCGTTACCGAACCATTCCGTCGGGATCTATAACCGTTAGATCAACTATTCACGACGATTACATAATGATCTAACGGTTACAAAACCCAACGGAATAATTCCGTAACGGGACTGTAACATTTTCCTGTAATAAACTGCATTGATAGATGAATTTGAGCAGTTATGTACCTGATTATAATGCTGATAATAAACGGTTTTGTGCTCCTTAGCAGAATCTCACATCATCATCTGATTGAAAAAAAAATATGTTTCTCGCTTGTGTATGTATACTCGAACAAAAACTCTTCACAGTATACTAAATAATGCGTATATATAATAAAAAAAATTGTGGTGATAAGTCCTTACTACAGTTATTGATTAGGAATAAAACTGTTCAGACTCCCACATCGATATAACTACTGAATTTTATGTTAGGTTTGGTACTATCATTCACAGTTTGATATAAATAACTACTGAAATTTATGTTAGGTTGGTTTGGTACTATCATTCAAAGACTCCCTCTCTTTTCCTAAATCCTAGTATTTAATTGTGACATCTTATTATAAAACAATAATAATATAATAACAATTAATTAGTGATTTAATTGTGACATCTTATTATAAAACAATAATACCAATATACCAATTAATTAGTTATTTAGTGGGAAAAGAAAAGCACATGCACAAAAATACACATTCATCAAATTCTCTTCACTACAAAAGTACACTTTTTTCCTGATCCTCCAAACCATAAGGTTCCGGCTCCGGCTCCGGCAATGGCTGTGACTGTGACTTGATCGACTTCTCGATCGCCAAGCTCCGATTCCCTAAACAGAAGTAATTGTTCATCGACCTCAAGTTAAACGAGCCGAGCCTCCGCTTCATCTTCATTTTATCGAGGCTCGGTGATTGATTCGAGCACTGGCTGACCGAAAGTGGGGACGTCCAAGAAGACTCGGAAAACGCGCTGCAAGGCGAACCGAGGTTCGATTTTGGCAGCACCTGACGAACATCGTGAGCCCCCAACTTCTTCCTGTTACCCGATGGGCCCGACCCGTTACTCTCCAAGGACATTATCCTTTTGTTGCTCGCTAGAGAAGAAGAATTCGGCCTAAAAAATTGTTGCCTTAGTGAAACCGGGCTGTCCCGTGAGCTCGAACCCATTGTGTATGACTTGAACGAAAGAGTGTCATCTTCTCCCCCGAAATCGGACCCACTCGAGCTTTTCTCCTTTTTCCCGAGCCAACGGAGGAAATTCCCGAGACGCGACTTTCCTCCGCTCATCGAGCTCGATTTCTTTAAGTCGGTCGAGATCGATTGGGAATGAGGAGAACTTATTACAACCTCGATTTCCTTCGAGTAGCCGTTTTTTTCTACATCATTTTCGACAAGTTCGGCATCCGGGATCTTGAAAGAAATCCCCGGACTACCCATTAATACCGGACGAGAAACGAGGGAAATGGAATCTCTCGATTTTCGCTCGGAGAAAAAAACTCCGCCAGCCGAGACAATCCGTTTGATCAAAATCTCAGAGGAGGGCGTTTTCGTCCGCGCAAAAAGTAAATCAAGCGGGGTGTTCCCTTCGCAATCTCGGACGTTTAGATCGATGTATCGGACGGACAAGATTAACTCGACGATTTCGGATGGAATGTCGAGGATTATAGCCGTGTGGAGTGGGGTACGCCCGTCTTTGTTCTGAACATTGATGATGTCGTCGAGTTTTTTCAAGACGAACCCATCGAGGAGCTTTTTCATGAGGTTTGTGTGGTGGTCGAGCCTTTGGAAATTCGGAGCTCGGAAGCCCATGATTGCCGAGTGAAGAAAAGTGTCTCCATCAACGTTTGCAACAGAGATTAGCGAAGGAGAGGAGGATATTAGGAACTCGAGGATGGGCAATCGGCCGTAGTATGCAGCCACGTGTAGGGAAGTATTGCCTCGGTTGTCGACCGAGTTGATGATGTCGTAGGATGATGTCAGATGTTTGACAACCTGCATTTTGATGAGAAAAAAAAAAAATCAAAATTAGCAAATGATAGTTTTTTGAACTTCTTGTAGAAAACCTCACAAATTGCATCGGGTTTCTTGTCTTTGATGGAACCGATGAATAAATTCTCCACCCGGGGTTTCATACCTACGAAGCGAAGCGAAGTGAAGGAAAGGTGTAATTGAGTAAGCAAGTCTTAAAGTTCAATCTAAGGCAACTCAGCCCACATTTTTCTACATGGCAAAAATGCAGCCTTGCTCTGAGTTAGATCACAAGATCTTGACACGTGGCTTGTGACGGGCAAAAAAAGATCATACATCATTCAAAACCTCACATAATAGCTATTTGGTATGTGCAATGCAAACCAGCCCACATTGGCAAAAATGCAGTCTTGCTCTGAGTTAGATCATAAGATCTTGACACGTGGCTTGTGGACGAGCAATTCCGGGCAAAAAAGATCATACACCATTCAGAACATTTTACGAGTTATGGATTTAGTCTACAATTTGCCAGAAAATTCACTAAAAGAAGTGGTTAAATTTTCTGATAATCAATTGTTGGAAAGGAATTGGAAAAAAAATGGTAAATTCTGGTCAAGTCTGCCAAAAAAAGCTCAATTTTTTCAGCTAGCAATCTGAAAATCCACAGTCTGCATTATCAGATGAGTGTAACCAAATCTGAGACTTACTATAGTAAATACACAGATGACACAACTGAGACTTATTATTCTACAAAGGTTTGATTTTTCTGAACTAAAATGACTAAAATTGAAATCTTTTAAAGGTATACTATACACAAAAGTTCAAAATGATGTAACTTTCATGATCATTGTGGGGCAGAGGAATTCAAGTAGTTACAAAAAGAAAATGCAGCAAAATAATGGCACAACAAGATAAATTGAATAATGGAAACCACACACATAAGCAAAGCATAATTAACATACAAAAAAAATCTCCCAAAAGAAAAAAAGACACAGAGAGAGATTCACCTCAACATGTCCCCTGCCGGCCGCCGTGTGCAGCACCGTCGAACCGTGACTATCTCTGTAAGCCAGAACATCGCCGCCGTCCCCCAAAAGCTCCACCAAAATCCCCAAATTGCCCCCCCTTGCCGCCGCGTGGACAGCTCTGTCCATCACCTCCCGCCAGAAATCTTCAGGCGATACCTCCCCGCGCCGCCGCTCCACC